AAAACAAAAAATTGTATAAAATCATTCTCGAATATTAATTAACTTAAATATAATTTTGATAGCATTTATCAATAACTAAGTCATCAGATTAAACATTACTGGACTATATTTAGGTACTTGAGTAATTTAGCAATTATGTCAAATATTATTATTTATTATAATATAAATATAACAAAAAAATTAAATTATATTTTAAATTACTTACATCGTATAATGTAGATGTTTAAATTAGTAGGTATTCCAAAATGTTGAGTTGCGTTTCAAAATAATTGGCATATATTTGTAATTATTGTTAGATATTTACCCCCTTCCTTTTGTTAAAACTGTCTGGAAATACATAACACCTCTTTCAACACCTACATTCAGTGTATTGTATTCTTTTTCGTTTCAGAACTAATCTAATATCTGATCTCGATAATACAATAATTGTTGAATATTATTTTTTAAATCAGTAAAAAAATTTAGGTAAAAATGTAAGATATAAAATGTACCAAATACTTATCGTAAAGTTATTAAAAATAATCTCTTGATGTTGATGATTAATGATAAAAACTAAATATTTTGAATAGAACTAAAATTTGAAAAGCAAAGTTTTTTAATGTAGATTGTGCTGTTGATATAACAAAAAGAGTAATTATTTGTAAAAATATATTATATAACCATTTAGTTTTTTTTTTTTTTTTTTTAATACGTTAAATAGAATTCGAGCGAATATTGGTTATTAAGTTATTTGATCATACTCATCACAGATGCACTGTTGCGTTTTACGGAACATTGAGCAAATTTTTCAAGCAAGACTCTTTCATAAATGTTTTTCTCTCTCATTTTTAATTTTAGTAAACAATGTTGAACTCACAATGAATGCTTAAGTGAAAAACCTCCGGGCAAATTATTTTACATTTTTATCTAGGTTCATAATATAATATACTCTAACACCTTTTCATACATAATCATAATTTAGTTACGTATAACTTATGTTTTAAAAATTGGATTGATTGTGCAAAGTTTTAAAGAATTTGTTTTGTAAAATTATTGACACATGAATATTTATAGGAGTTTCATTTAAGCCTGTTAAATATAATATGTTAGGTATTTGGGTACATATAAGGTAATATTAGTATAATATATTTGACATTTTTTAAAAAAAATGATGTTATATAATATTTATAATACTGTTAATAAATATTTAATAACCTACAAAGTAAAAATTTTATTATTTTTAAAATCTGCTGAGTAATAATTTTAAACCATAACGTTTTAGTAGGTGTCTATGTACTAAAAATATAATTATCATAGTTATTATAATTAAATCAAGATATTTATTTTAATTTTCAAACTTAATAATTATATGCTATATAGTCATATAATACAGATATAATAAAGTATATGTATGTTCTAAATTGTAATTATTTTCTTTCTTTTTTGTGTCTAAACAAATAAGATTCATGGATCCTTCCATCTTGGAATATAGGTTGTACCTACTGTCCAATATGCTAATAATATTATTATATTGAAAATACATTTGTTGAAATTTTTTTAGATGTCAAAGTATATTGTTTTGTAAAATTGCAACATATCTAAAATCCAAATCAAATTATTAGAAAGTACGCTTGAATGCGTAATAACCCATATATTTTGTAAAAGCAGGGAAAATAACACTAAATGTCCACAATGTAGTAGATATTCATAGAACCACACTTACCCGTATAGTAATAATACAATTAAGTTTAACTGTAAAAAATGGCCTAAAATAAGTTCATGAAATAAAAGCTACCATAATGTATTAGGTTTTTTTAGTTCTGGGTTATCACATGTTTATAATAAAAAGCATTTAAATATTTGCTTTTTTAACTAGAAATCATGATAACTTAGTGATGGACAGCATAGGGCTACAACATACTTCGTGGTTTATCTTAATAAAATCCAACAGGGAAACATTATAAAGTATTTTTTAATTAAAAATTTTAAAATATATAAGCAGGGTATACACAAAATTATATTTAATATTAATTATAATGTATTTTTAAGTCAAATTTACTACACTAGAATACAAGTATGATGGTGTACCCGAGGAATAATTCTGGTGGTGTTTGGGGGGAAGGGGGGATTTCAAACAAATAATTTATTGGGTATTAGATATTAGGTATTATATACTTACATAATATATTATGAAATAATTGTGTATAGAACATAATGAACTTATATGAACGTATTGTTTATAAAAAATGTGCACACGATCATAAAAGACTAAATTAGGATGGACTAGATTTTTTATCACAAAGATAGGTAAAACTATTTATATTTTATAAATGCTCAAATGCAAGATAAATACTGAATACTGAACTTTACAATAATATAATATTTGGATTACGAATGAAGCAATGTAAATAATAAATATTGGTTTTACAATGATGGCCAATGGGTTCAGTCTTTACGTAAATTATGTGAGGGATCAAAAGTAAAGCAAGCCTAGTACTATTCTAAATTATCAAAAAAAACAAAAATATATATTTACGGTACAATGCGATACTAAACTAATCAGTTCTAGACAAAATTAATGTTATAATGTAATTCAAAATTGAATAATCGTATGGACTTGTACTTTTCAACAAACATTTTTATTGGCATTTTCTTTAGAAATTATATAATTTTCAAAATATTTTAGATAATTTTTTGGTAATTATAAACATATCAATTTTTTATGGAATTATGCATTTTACAATTTTAGGATGTTAGTCAAAAGGCTTGACAATTTAAGAGACATTGTTACTCGTAATTTTTCTATCGTTAATTAAAAAGTTTCAAAAATACATATAGAAAACAATTTTTTTATAGACATTTGAAGTTCAAAATTTGATGAAATTTGATAGTTAAACGAAAAATAATAATCTTTCTTTTTAGAGTAAGTTTCAGTTCTTTTGTTGTAATTTAAAAATTATTTATCCGTTGGGTCTTGATACGTTTTTCCAATACATATTATAATGTATAATATTAGTTTATATACACAATGTAATTTCAAAATATTTAAACTTATATCTTAAACTATGTATAGTGTATACCACTGCAGACTACCTACTTAGGTACACCGTTCTACTGTAGATACAATGTGCATAATATGTATTGACTTAAAGATAATAACAATAATACATCATAAAATATTATAATAATAATCATATAATAAATACGATATTTTCGGCAAAAATAATTTCAACCAAATATAATATAGTAGGTATTTAAAATATTTAACAGATTTTGAAATTCATTATTCGTATGTACATCGTACATTATTTATGTACTCAGAGTCTCAGAATTCCTCCGAGAATATTTTTGTGATATCATCTACGATAATGTATCATTGCTTTTAAAATATGCAATAAGAATTTAGAGTACACTACAACTTACTACACTGTGCAGAATTGAACGATGTAAGGCATGTACCATGTACTTAAGCTGCTTTTTCATTATTTTTTATCCTAATAATATTTATTATTTTTTAAATAATTTTTTTCGCAAGTGTATTGTTATTTTGTTTCTTATACACATTGTATACCGTGTTCATTTTATTCTTTTTATTCATACAATTTTATAAATATTTAACTAGTTTGTACAAAGATTTTATGGAAAATGATTGTACCTATTAACATGGCGTGTAAAAATGTCATGAATATGCCTCTATATTATAAGACATATATTATAATATATAATGTTATATATTACAATTTATAACTTATAAGTTACAAGTATATAGGACTATGTGCAGTGCTCGACTTGAGGGGGGCGCAGGGGTACAGAGTACCCCAACTAGTTTTTTCAGAAATTTTAGAGTACCCCTACTATTATTTTTAGGAGGAACGCTCAGTTAGCTTCATAATTCTGCATTTTTATCAAAGTGCTCGAGATACCATTATAATTTGTCTTTTGGATTATTTCATAACCGTGGGTCTATAAATTATAATACCATTATAATACCTATGTAATATATTAACTTGTATCATTTTAATATTTAAATTGATTATTTATAAATAGGTACTATTAAAATGATTAAAATATGGTTATTAGAGAGTGTGAGGGATAGCTCCCACGGCTCAATAACCTTAAACGAGTGACGGGGACGCTCTGTTTTTAGGTAGTTAATTAGAAAATTGAATTGAAAAACATGGATTTCTATAACGTCAGCGAAATTATAATTTAGAAATATTGAAATTTATTTTGGCGAAGAAGAACAATGCCTGAATAAATCAGTATTATATTTTTTTAATTAAGTTACTAATTAAAATTCAATGTAGTTTTTCCGAATGATAATATAAATAGGTACAAAAGCTATTGGATAGATGCATTTAATTATTTAAATTAAATATTGAGATAAAAATAAGTGTTACTTTTTATACCTTTTCCATGAACTATTTATATAAATATCATAATTTAACTATTGTCTATTTCCTTTAAAAATATAACAATAAGAAAACGATAGGTACCTACATAAATACATTTTATCATTAATGAGAACAGTAAAATAATTCAATAAATAACCTCATAAATAGTCACTGATTCAGGATTTAACAATGATTAGCACACGGATAAAATAAAATATTTTATAGTATAGTATTTTATTATTATATTTTATAGTATAGGATTATCGGTGGAAATGTATCTCTCTGCCCTCTGGAAAATACTTCACTAAATATTATTGGCGGAAATTTAGAATTTAGTTTAGGAATTTATTATATTAGTGTCAAAACAGACTAATAAACTTATATAATAAGTATTATAATGTATATAATAATAATAATAATAATAATAATAATAATATTTTATAATCTAAACGTATGGACACTGAACTGTAATGATATGACCATAAATACCCGTGACCACTCCTTTTGCTTATTGTTTGCATAAAATCCGTTAATATAATATTCAAAGTGACTAGAATAAAATTCTAGTTTCGCCCTTTCATTGTCGACAAACCGAGGGTGCGTCCAAGCTGTTACTATTGTTAAGGTTTATGATTTATGCCTGAAAAATAATAATCATAAGTGTCGTGAGCAATCCAGTGGGGGTTTAATTACAAATACACTGTAATAATAGTATAAATACCGGGGAGAAATTTTTTATTTATGTATTTTTAATGCGAAGTGGGGCGGGCTGTTTGTTTTGTGACAGTCCAAACATAAGCAAGGGTATATTCTACGCACATTCCGGTTCCTGTTTTAACATCATTAAAATTCGGACCATGGTAATCCTCATAACTCACGTAAGACTTAATGTGAGCATAAGGGAAGTTGTTCTATAGAGTATATAATTTTATTGTACGACAATTTTTACTTAAATTTTTAATAACACTTTCCCTTGTATAGTTGTATACCTTGCTCATTTTATCTCCCAATATGTTTTACTACCTTTCACTAATGTAGCCTGTAGATATATAATATATATTTTTATTACGTATATTAATTTTCTCACATTTTATTAAAATTGGCTGATATATTAATGATTTGTAAGAAAATTAAAAATTACTTGCTATAAGTTGATGCAAACAATAAATTACATAGATAAAAAAATATATTCATTATTTTATTTTTCAGTTTAAATATTAAAAATCATATTTTTTCTATTTAATATACCTAGGTACTTACTATATTATATGGGTAGTTCATTAATCATGTTAAAGTACCTCCGCTTTGTGCCACTTTCTTTTATCTTACTTTTTCATCTAAAGATATTATTCACTACGTCCTAACATATATTTTTCTATACAACTATAGGTATTATGCTAGCATCTACACCTTATTATCAGAAATATTAACCGATGTTTGCAATTCAGAATCAATATTAAAATTGATTGATTTACATTAATAGTAAAATAAATATTAAATCAATCTGACTAAGTAAATAGATAAATGGTAATTAACATAGCTATAGTTTAATACATGGTGTTTAAGACATTAAACAATTTTTGTTGTTGTTATTTTTAAGTTTTAACCTTTAAAAGTAGTAAAAAGCTTTAATCTTCAACTATGAGAGAGTTTTGGAAAGAAAATTTGATCCATAATTATTAATACATTGGGAAGTCAAAAAAAGAAATTCCTAATACTATAAATAATGAGGAAAAACTAAACAATAATGTATTACAGAAAAATGGGAATATTTAAAAAAACACCAATTTTAGCATAATATCGATTTTCTTGTTTTTCTTTTAGAAATTAAAAAATAATAGCTGTACATTTTTAGGGTTCCGTAGCAAGAAACGAAACCCTTATAGATTCGTCATACTTGTCTGTCTGTCTGTCATGGTGTCACGGCCACTTTTCTCCTAAACTATGAGAGCTATACTGTTGAAACTTGGTAAGTAGATGTATTCTATGAACCGCATTAAGATTTTCACATAAAAATAGAAAAATAAATACATTTTGGGTGCTGCCCATACTTAGAACTGAAACTAAAAAAATTTTTTTCATCATACCCCATACGTGTGGGGTATCTATGGATAGGTCTTCAAAAATGATATTGAGATTTCAAATATCATTTTTTTTTTAAACTGAATAGTTTGAGCGAGAGACACTTCCAAAGTGGTAAAATGTGTGTCCCCCTCCCCCTATAACTTCTAAAATAAGAGAATGATAAAACTAAAAAAAATATATGATGTACATTATACCATGCAAACTTCCACCGAAAATTGGTTTGAACGATATCTAGTAAGTAGTTTTATTTTAATAAGTAAATAATAATAATAATAGTAGGTAATAACTAATAATAGTAATATAAATCTATTTTGTCATGTATATATTTAAAAATTTAATGTCAATCACGGGTTAAGATAGACTAAAATGGGCTATAATGCCATAATGGAATGAGACTTGGTATAAGACTTCTGCTGGACCTGGTGGTGGGGCCAAAGTCCGTGCCGGCCGAACGAAACGACTTATTATTTATGTTACTTGCTGCTACGGAACCCTTCATGTTTGAGTCCGACTCGAACTTGGCCGCTTTTTTTTTATTAATATATTAATTACTATATTATATAATTTTTAATATATTTTGGTTCCTATGCTATTTATATTTTATATAGTTATTTTTAGTAGCTATTCAACTTTATTTCAGTTATTTTTCAAACATTTTAGTAGAAGGTTCTTCATAAGATGTCTTACAGAACCTAAAAAATATTGAAAATATAAAGTTACTATTTTTTTTATAAACATATCTAACTTTGTATTTCAAATTTTGTATTAAAAAATAATATAATTTTATATTCTAAGATCTAAGGGGAGCGATGATAATGAAAATTATGTAGTGTGTGATTTTTTTTTTTTTTAGAGCCTGGGAACACTTTTTATTATAGTAAAAAAAAGTGCTACCATTTCAACCTTCGATTCTCAACTTAAGCATCTTAACTGGTAGGTAAGTAAATCTATTTGGTACTTCTTTGGGAGTAAAAAGTAAATAATTCCATGAACTTTTGTTGACAAAAAAAATTAGGATTTTTACAAAAACCCGTTTTAAACAACTTTGATTTTTTTACTTTGTTGTAGGTAATTTGGAAACGAATAATCATAATAGTTAGCTACTTGAAATGTTCACCAAATATTTATACATATTAGAATTTTCTATACATGATATAATTTTAAGCTGAAACTGTTACAATTACACCGTTCTAATGTATTGACTTATAAGAATTTATAATAATAATATAATATGATATAAATGTATTATATAGGTACCTAATTTACTTTACTAATTACTAGCTGAATTCTTATGTTGAAAATTGAAACCCGTGTTGAAAATTGAATTTAATCTTTCTATCTATAGTTTCAGCTTTGGTTTAATGAAATATATAATACAATACCTGTGTAAGCCTCATCAACTTCATTTCGAAGCCATATAATAACTGGACAAACAGACTGACAGGCAACCAAAATATGTAGCTGTGCGTGTGCAGCAATATTACATTTAATCATGTACAAAAAAAATAAATAAATAAATAAACCACAGCCTATACAATTTGAACACTTTTCAACTGTGATACTCAAGATAAATAAATAATAATAAGATAGTATTTAATATCAAAAAAGTCAACTTTATAAATCTGTAAACATGATTTTTGTAATTTTTTTAGTAGAATGTGCGTACAAATTTTTAGCTGTGTCTATACCCTAGAAGAGGCGACAAATACTTGATGCCGTCAGAGAAGCAAGGTTTTTCCAAATCAATTCCCACCACCTTTATAGATTGTCCTTACAAGGATATATATAATAAAAAAGGTGCTCTGCTGTACAGTCGGTTACAAGTAGGTCACTGTATAATGGATGATATTAAATTTTAATTCAATGATATAATATCATTGTATAAAAAAAACGATTCTGAGCGGAGACGGTATGTCAGTCTAGGTATAAAGCATATTATATACTTATCTATGGTATTAAAAAAATTGACCTATTATAGGTACCTATAATAAATTCCAAATTAATCATATCACAATATCCATTAGGTACTTATAACACGTTATACATCAACAACAAACCCTGATACTATCATAGATATATAATAGTGTACTTTAGAAATTTCAAGTACCCAAGAATAATATCATACGATCACAACGAAATAACTAAAATAGTTATTCTAGGTTCTTTTTATGTAATTTCATCCAAATTTGAACTTAAAATGACCATAAAAATAAACTGTGAGAATGTATTTTTTAGATTTTTTGGTAACAGAATTAACTATTTACGTGGAATCTTGTTTTAAATTTTCAATCCTTAGATATAAAATTTAAATATTTTATAAATTTTAAATACAAAATAATTATTCAATTTTAAATTTGATAAATGTTGTCAAAATGCGTTCTTCTTTTTTATAAAAAAAAAATTGTGCCTAAAGATTTTTAATATTTTTCAAATGCCTGCATTGTAATAATATAGTAGGAGCCTTGTATTAAATTTTCAAACTTTTTTAAACAACAAATAAAATGTTATCGGTATTTTTAGAAAACAAACTAAAAAAAAATTAAAAATGAAAATGTCCCTAAACAGTTCAAAATAAGTCAAAATATTTTGAAAATGTTATAGTGTATAGAAAATTCAAATATAAACAACCAGTGAAAAATTCAAGTGTCTACGATCATTTGTTTTAAAGTTACACCAAAAACCCAATTCAATATTGTGAAAAATCGATTTTGCGTGAAAATTCCCGTTTTTCCTTAATTTTTCTTTTGTTAATCTTGTCGCTTGTGAAAACTATTGGGAATTTTAAATTTCGACCTCCCAAAAGTACCAACTAGATTCACTTTCCCATCGAACAAGTTACTGAAGTCGAAAATCAAAGCATTATTTTGACTACTAATCGTGTACACAGACACAAAAAAAAAAAAAACACACATCATTGTAAAATCAATACATTCATCGTTCCACTCAGAATCTAAAAAAGATGTCCAAATTAAAATTAAAATTAGCCACCTATATTTATATCAAGTAACCAATGGCCGAGTAAGCTCAGGTGTGAGCCAATCTTTAGGGGTTGACTCCGGGATGAAAAGTATTACGACCCGCCTGAGAGCCCAAAGAACATGTGTACAAAATTTGGTACCAATTGGTCAACAACTGTGGATTACTTAACATTATATTGGATTTTATTTTATACAATAGATTTTATATGTTTTTATACTAAATTAAATCAACAATAATAGTAAAAGAAGTTTTTTTTTTCTTATTTTAGAAAATTTACAATCTGTATTAATAAAACACAATGAGTAAATGTGATATATGTACAACAATACAATATAATATGATAACAGGATGGCAGGATAAGGGAGGCCATCCAATGATAGAACCCTTCAGATTTAAATTAAACATAATTTATTGATTATTTTTTTTATCATAAAATATCACTAAACCAGCGTCTTTTAAGGCGGCGAGAGGAATTGTCAGAAAGTGTAGATAGATAGGTGGGAGATAAGAGGATTTTGATGTAGATGTAATTTTTTGTGAAATGTAGTGTAGGTTAGGTTAGTTAGTTAATCAACA